CAGTCAAAGCTCTACCTTTAAAAAGTCAATCTTTTAATGGGGTGGGGTGATGTTTTTGCTTTCTTATTCAGTGCTGCATACTCCCTGGAAAGTATTTTATAGGGACCCCTGCCACCTTACTTAATAGGACATCTGCAGGCAATTGAAATATTCCAAGATAAAAAAAAATCACAGCTTCACAGAGCAAGGAGAAAGAAAAAAAATGGTGCTAACCTTTCCAGCCCTTTGCAAATGAGTAGGAGTCCAGAGGTCACATCTATGCAATCTACCTACCAGCCAAATGCCAACCATCAACCAGGGCTTGCTATCCTACAGCTGATTCTACCTCAAGGGTTAAATGACACTTTTTCTTTAAAAAACAACAACACTCTTCTCTAAAACTGCTTAGATATAGCTTAAGTCCTTTCAGAGTTATGGAGACAGGGTTTTCTTGGCAATATTTGCTCACAGAGGGTTGCCTTACTGTTCTCTGAGGCTAAGAGAGTGTGACTTGTCTCCATGGTTCAGTGGGGATTCAAACCCTGGTCTTCAAAGTAGTAGTTCAATCCCCAAATCAGTCACGTAAATGTCATCCCCATCGATTAGCTTAGTTTTTTAAAAAAACAAAACAAAACAACAACCCTATTTTATGCTGTTCAATACGTTTTCTTTACTAGTTTCTACTGATGCTACCTCTGAAACATTTTCACCCCAGGTCCTCCTATTCCTGAATTTATCTGATGGGAAATCCCACCTAATCAGGGATTATATACTGAATGAGGAATGTCAGGATGATTATATCAGATACAATGATTTTTCAAGCTGATAAAAGTATCTGCCAAAAATGGTGAATACTTTTGGCTCAGCAGCAGTTTTCCCCGTTCTCTGTTACAAACCATCTTTTTTATCCTTTGTCGTTCATGACTATGTTATCCAAACAGAAGCCTGGTGAGACATGTCACTGAAAAACAACCTTTAAAGTTTATCCTATGATAGTGAAGGATCTTTCTGGATTTTTTGGCACCTAACCCAAGAAACTCCATCTATCATTATCATTATTAACTCTCAAGTCAGCTAATAACCACACAATCCAATAACAATTTAAAACAAAGGAAATACAAAAATTTAAAAAACAGTAACCTATTTGTGTGTATATAACATTACAATACAAGTAAAATACAATAAATACAATTTAAATGACATGTCAAACTGACAGCTGTTTGATGCAGAAGGGAGAGAGGCTCTGGCTGTCACATCAGACCAGAAAATGGCTGGTTTGGAGGCAAGAGGACTTTTCAGTCTGCTTTGCCTGGGAGCCAAGGAACAACTCCTATGGAGTCCAACTTCCACCACCTGGTGAGCTTTTGGCTAAAAATCTTTAGTGCAGCTGTTGACAAGTCTACATAGGGACCACCAAATGCAACAGCATTGCCCAGACATAAAGCCGACCATCCTCTCAAAATCCCACCCACAACCTCCTCAGCAGCATTGCCCCTTATCCTTCCTCAAATGCCCCTTATCCTTCCTCCTGGCACATAAATGTCTTTAGCTGCCTGTGAAAATCAAGCAGGGATGGGGCCATCCTGGTCTCTTTTGAGAGAGAGTGCAAAAATCTGGGAGCAGACACTGAAAAAATCCTCTCCTTTGTTCCCACCAAAGGAGCTTCAGCAAGTCATGTGACAGAGACCCTTCCCCAGATTATTGTAGATATTTGACAGATTTTTTAGAGAGAGAGATGGTCCTTCAAACAACCTGGTCCTAAGCCATATAGAAATAACATCACTGTAGTCTTCTCAAGTGGGATGTCCCACCAAATGAGCTTCAGCAAATCATATGACAGAGACCCTCCCCCAGATGATTGTAGATATTTGACAGGTTTGTAGAGAGAGAGATGGTCCTTCAAACAACCCGGACCTAAGCCATATAGAAATAACATCACTGTAGTCTTCTCAAGTGGGATGTCCATACTTCAGAACATAGATGGTTAGGACCTCCAGGATGTTTAAGTAACTTAAGACATCAATTCATTATAGACATACATACTTATTGTGTCATGGATCTTTACTGCTACAGAATTTCTCTCCTGTATCTGAAAATCCAAAATGTTACAAAACCATAACTTTTTGCCGCCATCTGTCTACTTTCAGCTTTGAAGAAAGGGGGCTAGACACATGTCTAGCAGCTACTGAGTTTTTCCTCCAGGGTCCTTCGTTGGGGAAATAAAATAAACGGAAGGCTCTGTTTGCACAAGGCTCATGTAAAAAGTAGACATCCCACATGCTTTCACATTGGATTGTGGCATGTGACAGGGCAAGCACCCTGGAAATGGTTGCATGAATGAATGCAGAATGACCCTCCCATTGGCTGCCATCTATATCCAGTTAAGAGAGAATGAGAAAGATACATGGCAGGGGTGGGGGGGAATGGGAAGGATTTTACCCTCCCTTCCCAGCTACTTAGCTAAAAAGCGTGGAACGTATGTTGACAGTCAAGAAGGTATCTGGGACATATACTTTTTTTACAGTGGCCATATGTAAGCGGAGTCTTTCTATTCTTCCATGTCTTCCATTTCAACCATTGCGTTTCTGGCAGCGACTGAGTGGGGCTTGTGTGACTAACCCCTCATATCTATGTATATGCAAATAAATGTATTTCAAAATCTGGGGGGGGGGGGCTAAAAATATGGAAACCTTTTTGTCCTAAGCATGTCAGACAATTGAGTTTTATAAGAAGAATGAACTGGTTTTAAAAATTAGCAATCCTTCAGCTGTCGGTGATGAAAGGCAGGAATCATAGCAACTATTCCAGCTGATACTGTACCAATAATCATGTGATATACCATGTTAGATTTCCTATATACTCTTATGCTTTTATTTGTGGTTGAGAAATGCTGAGAGATTACAAAGTGGGATTTGGAGCTAGCATCAGACTTATTGATTAGAATTTGTTATAGGAGGTACACTGTGTTGTTGTACTAGTATATTACAACAACATCTACCTGGAACATCACAATGATGGATGCATTATAAATCAATCAATAAATACATCAGCTTTAATAATTAATAAATATTACAATGCAATAAGACATTTCAGCCCACTAGAAAGCCACCAATTTGCAAAACAGGACTTTTATTCTTAGTCCTATAAACCCTGCCAAGTAATAAATGTTGGATTTGAATATGAGAAACACTGATTCCAGCTGTATCAAAGCTAAGGCAGCCATGGCTAAATCAAGCCAGCGCCACAAAATAGATAGCAAGGGTGCTAGACTGCATTTCCCATAAGTTCTAACCAGTCTGGCCCATTGTGGGATTGGTAGTTTAACAACATTGGAGGAACACACGTTTCCCATGCTAGGTTTACATCACCTGCCAAATGAAACAAAATTAAAGTACATGTCCTGATGGGCCAGAACTTTAAGACGTTGAGATATGAGATTACACTGCAAATAAATATAACCTCACAAAGTTAGTTAAATTTTAAAACTTAAGAAAAATAATGCAGTTCTGAAAGAGAAAAGCAGTATGGTACAGTAGTTGGAATGGACTAGGACACTGGGAGGCCAAGCTTTAGGATCATGATGTTGGAAACTACTTGGAGGCATACGGCAACAAAGTTCCCAAAGAGTCAAGATTACAGTGTTACAGTGACATTACTGGTTGTCTCTGGACAACTGTTTACCTTAAATGCCTGAAATATCCTCTACTGAAAGTGGAAGGCAACCACACAGAACAGTCTGCTTTTGTTCAAAAGTGCCCTCTCTCTTTCTTTCCTGTTCATAATGGCTGAGAACAGGTAAAAATTCAGGTACCTTGCACCATGTATACAAGAAGAACAGAATATGCTGATAGTAAGAGACATGTAGATATGCCAGAAGCTCTGAGTTGAGACCTGCAAGTACTTTTCTTCCTTTTACATTTTAGCCATTTCAAGGACTCTGAATGACAAAAAAACTCTTCACAACTGTTCAGGAGAAACTTAGATTATAATCAGAAATATTTCACCTCTCTGTGTGTAGTGAAGCATCTCAAGTAGATCTGAGCAATATTAATAACATTAGGCAACATCATACCTGCTTTGGGACTAGTTCTAGCTCATCCAATGTGTTAGTGACTCTGAAAGCACCGTGTTGTGGTCATGGTAACATCAGCTAAACTGTGAAGAACCAGACAATCAAAACTATTCTTATTTTATCACCCAGATCAGAAAAGTATGGTACAGTAATTAAGCCGGAGTATTTGCACTAGGGAACTGAAAAGGAAAAGCAGTGGAGTGGGGAGGAATTTCTAATATCAGCACACCCAGGCTTACGCTTGCTGCTTTTTAATAGATATGGCTATAGGTATAGACATACTGGTACACATACAAAACATAGTTTAGAATGGAAGTTTATTTTATACTCATGTCCCTAAGGCTCTTCCCAAGTAAAGCAAAATAAAAATAGATATCTTATCATTAATTCATAATCTAGGAGATTGCTTCTAATACATATGCCTATTGCTAACAAACCTATTAGCATGGTAATCAATCAGCAAACCAATCAATAACTCTCTTTTATATGAAGGCAGCAAAAGATGGCTTGTTGCAACAATTGGTTGTCTGAAACTAATCAAAAACATCTTGGTTATGTGATTGTTTCTATTCTACTGAAATAGAAGTTTAGTTCAAAGATCAGAGATACCTACTTTCTGTATATACACACACATTGGCTATACATCAGGATTCAGAGCATAAACACTCAGAACATTATGATCAGAGTATAAACATAGCAGAAAGAATAAAAAAGAACTCTTTCTATTGTACACAAGTCTTTCTTAATTTTAATTTATGGGAAAAGTGAAAATTAGGCTCTGCTAGGTAAAAAGACCCATTTTCACTTGGATGGCTTTAGACTTCCATGCCCATTATCAAATGCACTTTCTACCTCCTCTCCCTCTATCTCTCTTGCAAGTCAAGAAATCACCAAGCATCTGTCCTAATAGCCCTTTCAACAGTGCCTGTTTGATAAAAGTATACTGTACCATGATAATCAGAGTCCTGGGTCTGCTCATTTCATCATCACTATCCAGAGGCAGGATTTCATCTGACAATTCCTCTTGCCGTCGTCTACAAATGTGTGCACAGTTCCTCTGTACCACTGAACGAAAGGCTTGAAGCAGAACAATGCTGGCAGCACAACCCATAGCTGCATCCTGAAGCCTACAAAATAACTTCTATGTTTATGCTATGTTTGAAAAACAGAAGCTCCTTGTCCCTGCACACAGACTACAGTGCAGCTGCAGCCAGCCAGCCAGCCAGCCAGTCAGCCAGCTCTCTCCAATCGTTTCCTTGAGCTGTAATCATCTGATCACAACCAAATAGCTTGGATGCAAATATAGGAAAGATCTGATCCACTGAAAACTACACTCACACATGGTATTAAGGTCCTTTTTTCTTCTTTTTTTGCTACTACTTTGCCTAAAAACACAGGAGAACAATTTTCCTTGCTTTTCACACTAATCCTTCTCCTGATCCCAGATTCCTAAAGCTGAAAAGTAGAAACCAGCTGTTTAATAAAACCTGGCAAGGCTCAATTTACTGACTGTTAATAGTTGCATAGAGGAACACCAGGAATGACAGCCATAAGCAGAATTGACCAGGATAAGTGAACATGAATGCTTTTTTATAATTCTTTATTAAGGAGGAGAAACTGGTTTCTGCTTCACTGGAGGGGCACTGATATGAACAGAGAGCTTTGAGGGAAGTCTTTCATACTCTTAAATGTAGCTAGCAGGTTCAAAGCACACAAAGCAGAAGTAGAATAAATGCAAAACAGCATGGATTGTATATAGCTCATATCCAAACATTGCTGCCTTAATGTGAACTGCAGCTGCTTACTTCTTAAATGCTTTTCAATAGTAGAATTGCAGTTGTTGGGGAAAATATTAGGGATTTTTTTCACATTGGCAGAGGCAGCGTGCATGTGGTAAATCTCTCCAAGGAACAGATCACTCAGAAGGAATTAAGAACACACATACACACACCCTTGCCCTCCCCAAAGCAAAGTAACCAATTGGGAAGCATTTGTAAATGTTTAACTGATAAATAATTAAGACCAGAGAAGGAGGGAGGAAACCAGCGGACTGTGAGCAGCTTAGCATTGTAACCGCTGGCGGAGAAGTCATTCAGAATAGAGCTAAAGAGGTGCTTAAAATCACATGGCACTGTTTGGAAGAATATCAAGATCGTAATGGTGTAATTGTGTGAGGTAAGAAGTTGGCACTAGACTTCTTTTTCTTACCAATGAAAAGTACAGCAATGCTTGCAAACACATTTGCAAGAAGTCCAGCATTCTTTTCAGCTAATACTTCTTACCACCTTATTTCATCTGCAATCACATCTGCCTCCACTCTTCTTCTTCTTTTTTTTAAAGGTTTCTCTTTACTCTCACACAAAGGAGCCTGGCTTGTTTTGGGAAGGCAATGGGAACTCTGCCACCGACTTTCATGGGGACTTGAGCAAGCCTGTAATTCCTGTTGATGTAATCTTTGGAATGGCTGTTTCATGAAATCAATTGTTAAAAGAACAAGAGGGAGGGAGGAAGCCTAAATGGTGCTGTTCCCTGGAAGCATTTCACACAGGGGTTGATTAGCTTTTAATTGCTCTGTAATCTCTCACAACAGAGCAGCATATTAATGAAAATATTTACCAAGGCGATGAAATGAGTTCTTGAAAAGCATGCCGCTCACTGCCAAATGTTCCTCTTTGCTTGTAGGAATACTAAAATGACTACAAATACTTAAGACATATTCTCTGTCTCTCTCATTCAGAGATATATCTGAGATATTTACTTGCTTGTCCTCCAAGTTCAGTGTCCTGGTACGTAGGTGACTGTGGAGCCCTATTCTTGACCTGCATGTTCTCTCCCAGTGAGGGTATTGGTTTCCAGGTGGAAGATGGTCCCAGTTAGGGTTGGTTTGATGTGCCTTCCTCTTGGCACATTTCACTCTTTTGCCCTCCATTCATGCCTCTTCAAGTTCTACAGCACTGCTGGTCACAGTTGACCTCCAGCTAGAGCACTCAAGGGCCAGGATTTCCCAGTTCTCAGTGTCTATACCACAGTTTTTAAGGTTGGTTTTGAACCGATGTTTAAATCTCTTTTCCTGTCCTCCAACATTCCGTTTTCCATTCTTGAGTTCAGAGTAGAGTAAATGCTTTGGGAGACAGTGGTCGGGCAGTTGGACAGGTGGCCAGTCGGCGAAGGACCATTGCTTCAATGCTGGTGGTGTTTGCTTCTTCCAGCACACTGACATTTGTCCGCCTATCTTCCCAAGAGATTTGCAGGATTTTTCGGAGGCAACGTTGATGGGATCATTCCAGGAGTTGCATGTGATGTCTGTAGATAGTCCACGTTTTGCAGGCATATAATAGGGTTTGGGGGGGGAGAGACCCAAAAGAGCAGTCAGAGGATAACATGGTACATGTTACAATGGCTGTGAAGGCAGAAGAAGTCTGAAACAGATTGAGAAGCCATTGTCATCATGTTAACCACGCCACTAGATGGAATCTCACTCTGTGAAGACTGTGTGTTGATCAGCTGTGCACTGACCTCCATACATTAAAAAAATTCACACACAGACGTGTGTGAAAAAATAAAAACAATCTGACAAAAAGTCCCATGGCGATCAGCAAGTGGCGATGGGGACAGGACAGTGAAATCTGGAAGCCCCTAGTCACAGACTGGCACATGGGCGGTGGATACGGATTCAGTCGTTCTACGTACTTTAAGGTCCGAGGCAGATGAGTAGTTCGGCAGCTGTATCCATGACTGAGCAGTCCTTTTTAGGATGCACTCTGCTCACCACACATGGGGAAAGGGCTAGAAAAGGGGCCCTAAACATAGTCTGCCTCTCTTATCCCTGACTGGACTGCTGCATCCAGTGGGGTCACCATCCTGTGGCCAAAAAAAGAAAAATGAATTTTGGAACATGGAACGTACAGACGCTGATGGACAACACTGACAGTGAATGCCCTGAACGCAGAACTGTTATCACTGCAAGGGAGCTGGGATGCTTTAACATCTGAGATAACACAGATACAACAGCAGTACTGGCAGTCACTGTGCAAGTCTCTTAGCTTTTTGACAGGCAACATTTTCTTCTTTCTTGTCATCTCACTAGATAATTCCAAGAGCTGAGCTGAGAGGCTTCCAGGAGGCCAGCATGGATTTCTAATTCCCAATATATTTAATCACAGTAGAAAACCAAATGCCCCCCATTGCCAGATTATATTTCTGAAATAAAGAAAACTCGTTACCAGAGGTAGGTTTTTATTCAGATGGACTCTGAGGTCCACTCATGTTGGGTGCTGAAAATACAGTCAGAATCTTTAATCCTAAAGAATACAGTCACTTCTCCATCTCTACAGATTCAACAATCCATGGTTTGGTTTTCTTTTAATAGCAAACTTTGATATTGTCATTTTAAATAATGGACATAAGTTTACTATGTCATTCTATATAATAGGTTTAGGGCATCCATAAGGAGGAGGATGCTGAAAGCAAACCCCAACAATTACCAAGGGACTTCTGTATGTGGTGCAGCTGAAGCAAATGCTTCAGGCTCACAAAGTGTTTAGGTGCTTTATCACTGCTGTGGGCACTACACAAGGACATGCAACTTTGGGTTCTGTTCAAATTTTTGGTACTGTGATGCTGGCAAGAGAAAACACTCATGGGAGAGAGAGTTGGTACCACTTGGCACTAATTCTGCAGGAGTATGACATATTTTGGGTTAGACATAGACACCAGAATGCCCAGAGCTACCCCTTCCCTCAGACCTGATAGACATTTATTCTGGGCCTACGGAGAGCTTTCCTTGACCTTCAATACAACTGAGCCCAATCTGCCAGTAGCACAAAGCAGCCACTCCAACAGTGAAGTCTGTACACCTGTACAAATCCCTACTTCCTGTTTTTTAAAAATATTTAGAGCTTGAAACTGCTATATTATTAGATTCTAGTAAAAAGAACACACAGTAGATCCTGTAAGTCAGATGCTGCTAAAACAAAAATCCAAATGAGAAATCTCTCTGCTTCTATTCTGCAGTCTTTGTATTTTCATTTTTCCCCTCTGTGCATGAGTCTGGAGCTGACACTTTGGCCACAGACTTCGTAGCCAAGCAAAGACCCAAATTCTTAACAAGGCTAATCGTAACAGCATCTGTTGAGAATCAGTCCAATTTTCTTCACAGCTTACATGATTTGTTCTTAGGGAGACTGTTGTATAGCCTTGGGCAATATTAATGCCTCTTGCATGACAGGTGTTGCTCTTATTATATTCATGTTATATTGCAGTGCTTGTGGGGGGGGGGGGGGGGGGTTTTATGACATTTGGTTTCTATGGTAATAAGGTTCTGGATGCCAGATAATTCTGTTCCAAAACCTTTTTATAACTACTGGAAGAGGAAAATTCTCCTTGAATCAAACATGCTCTTTAAGCACTTCCATAAGGGGAGCTACAGAGGAAATTATAACACAAGACGTGCTTAGGAAACAGAGTTGTGGCCTACACTCACTTCTTTGGAGGAGGAGAAAACAAAAAAGCTTATCCCAAAGCAGAAAGAGAAACCCCTTGAAAATGGAGTAGGGACACAAGCCAGAGAGTGGGAGTTTTGTGCTTCCAGCCAAGGCAACTAACTGTACAGCAACTGGACTGCAGTAAAAGAGAGCGGCTACACATGCAAACCCACTTACTTTGTTTTTAAACCAAGACAATCAAGCTTTTATATTATTATATTCTAATATGACATTTTATAATATACTATCCCACTTGTAAATAGACGTTCTCAGAGGACTTCACAACATTATAGCACAAAGAACAAAGTATTCAAAATTTAAATGCAACCTATATTCCAAATGTTTGTCACCTGCCCAACATTTAGAAATGTTTTTTTAAAAAATTCAATATCTCAGAATCATATAGCCAGAAACTTTTTTAAAAGTGTTCTTACCAATAAAATAAAATAGCTGCACTCAATTGCCAGTGAAGACTGGGCACACTTCTTTTTCAAAATGTTGTTTCCATTCAGTAACAAAGATATTTGTGTTTAGGTAAAAGTAAAGTTTTTTCCCCTGATATTAAGTCCAATTGTGTCCGACTCCACTTCTAAGCCGAAGAGCCGGCATTGTCCATAGATACCTCCTAGGTCAGGTGGCCAGCACGACTGCAAGGAGTGCTGTTACTTTCTTGCCGGAGCAGTACCTATTGATCTACTCACATTTGCATGTTTTCAAACTGCTAGGTTGGAAGAAGCTGGGGCTAACAGCGGGTGCTCAAATCGCTCCCTGGATTCGAACCTGCAACCTTTCAGTCAACAAGTTCAGCAGCACAGTGCTTTAATCCATTGCAACACCAGGGGTTCCCTCTGTGTTTAGCCGGGTCTTATTTTCAGAGGCTGGTCTGCTGTTGAAAGAAATCCAATGGGTTGGATGCAGCTATATCTTTACTGTTATTTTTTTTGTGTGTTTTAATATATTTCCTCTTTTGTTTTTTAAATCAATCAAATATTTCACCTCTATTTTGTTATTAGCTGCCTTGAGTGCCCTGTTCAGCAAAAGACAGGGCATTTAACAAATAAGATCACTGCTGGTGGAACTACC